GTTATGGCATGGTTTTGTAGAGAATTCAATAAGGAATCTTTTGGAAAAAGATTTGGATCGATAGGATAAAAGCCGGCGGAGTTATATTCAAAATACGGGAGTGCGTTTATTTATGCGCCACCCGTTACGATACGATAAAATACAGAAGAAGAAGTACTATAATAAGGAAGAAGAGAAGCACTAGATGAAAACCATCAAAATGAATTAACTGCTTTTCAAGGCTCTACACAAGTCAAAGATACTTACGTTACTAGAAAATTCTGTTCCACGAGCATCACACAAAGTAGAAGGGCAAAATTAAACAACATCAGTAAAAATGAATATGTAGTAATAATTCCCGATATAAACTCTATATGAAACTAATTTGACTACTCTGAGAAATCAGACATAAAGCAAATAGAGCAAATTTAGACTTTCAGGAACAGGAAAACAAAATTTCTCATTTTTAGTTTTCGGAAGGCATCGAATTCACAAATGTAAAGTAGTTTATTAAGTACTTATAAAAAAACTTTCAAAAACTAATGCAACCGAAATGTTTGGTTTTCCCTAGTTAGAAGTTGAGAGGTAGTGGTAAAAACGATGAACCGCTATCTGCCTGATTTCTCGAAAATAGTCATGTTAAAACGACTACTGATTATTTAGAGACAAAGTCAAAGTAGCACAGGTGATTAAAATTTTGTAAAAGTTTCAATGACTTTCATCACTTTTCCTTTTAGAAAAAAGATAAAGAAGTGATGATCAATCCGTCATGCGCATACATGTGTGTTTGAGTGCGTGCTGTGGCTGTAAACTTACTTCCTCTTCATCTGTATCGGATGAGTACGAAGTTCTTAGTTTTTCTAGACTATGTTTTAATGATCCATCGTTACTGTTATCAGCTGATGTACTCGTTTTTTGTTTTTCTGGCGAAGAGCCACGAGCAATAGCGACGGTTACTTCCTTAAAATTTCTCCTCAATGATGGTGATGATTGTGGATGCGATGGCGGTTCAATAGTATATAAAGATGACGTTTTACGATGTTCTGGAGGCGTTTTGTCTCGTGTAACACGTACAGTGACTTCTTGAATACGTCCCATTGTGGTTTTCTTTTCAATACCAAATGTATTTTCCGGCAAAATAGTTACGTTTTGGGTAGTATAGTAGACGTTAGCGTCTTCATCAGACAAACGATGTTCTTGTTGTTGCTGTTGTTCAACCTGATTGTTAATAGTGAAGTGGAAACTTATGAAGCGTAAGTTCAGCACAAGAACTTAGAGTATCGAAAGAGTGTATGTATGAATGGGTGGACAAATGTCGATGATACGCATTAAATTTGATTAGAGACGTTCAAAACTTTCCAGATTCATTTATCAAGACTATTTCAGTTCAATGCGCTTTATCAAACAAAGTATAAGTTGATAAAATGATCCATCAGTTTTTTATTTTTTTTATCTCAGACTAAACTGTTGATAATAAAAAAAAACTTCAGAATATGTCACAGAATTAATGTCGGAACGTTTCGTAAGTTGAATGCAGTTTCATGAAAAAAATATCATAAAGAACTCAGAGGCATCTGATTTGGTTCAGAAATGTTTGCTCTGCAACAAAACTGTTAAGAAAAAATTTCTCAATCGCCTTCGTAGACTTGGGTTTCTAGGATTTGGTTTTCCAGAAATCCTGATCCCAAACGCACTGATGAAATCCTTATACACTCAACATCAGATTGAAAACGCTTTCAGCTAATTGAATCTTTTTTCAAATATGGTCTATCCATTAAGATCGACGAAAAAAATCAAAATCAAATCGTTGCTTTTTCCAGTAATCTACGGGAGAACAAATAAAAACAGACAAAAAGAGTGCAGATAATCTTAACATTGTCTACAGATAAAACCTGATAGTGGTTATGATTTGTTTTAATCTAAATCTCCATAAAACTAAAGAAATAAACAACTATTTTTATTTACCTGTTCTTGCGTATCTGTATCGGATAACGTGTGTTTTGTTCGCCAATCTTCTTTTGTTGTATCTCGAATAGTCGATGTAGCCATGGGAGAAAATGTACGTTGTTTACGTCCAGCTTCATTGACAATTTTCGATAAACCTGTATATACACTTCCAAATGGATAATCCAATTCTTCTTCGGATGTATCATCTTTTAATCGTTGCTGTTGTGTACGTTGAACAAGAGCACTTGCACCGATATCTCGTCGCGATAAATCATCACTACTGCTTCTCGCCGTTTCATTACCATCTCCTTTTGATGAAAATTCTTGCAAACCAACATATTGTGATGTTCGTCGAGAATCTTTCGATGTTGATGGTAAGTTGTGTGTTAATTCAACAAGATACTCTTCACTAACAAGATCATTATCAGACGTTGATTTCAATAGATTCTGATCTTGTTGGTGGGTTAAGTCACGTCGGTACTGTTGTGAAGATGTAGTTGGTTCAATAACATTTGAAATTCGATCATACTGAGAAGTGATTGTCGAAGTTAGAGCCGTATTAGTAGAGTATGCTGGTACTTGTTGACGAGCTCGATTGTATGTATATGAGGATAACGATGTGTCTGATTTAGTTTGAACACGATCTGGTAATAACTGCTGTTGCTCTTCATATCGATCACCGTCATCACTCGTTATCATAATTGTTCGTTTTTGTTGAGTATCGTACGTGGTTGCTGGTACTCGTCGATATATTTCTCGTAATACATCGTACGATTTATGTCCTTTAATTCGTTCGTTTTTCTCACGATATTCTTCTTTGACAACATCACCTTTTTTCCTGTCTGTTGTTTCTACTTTTGAACTAATCAAGCGATTTGTTTGTCCATCAAATTCATCTGTTCGTCGAATTTTATATTCTTCACTCCATTCTTCAAAAAGAACTTCTTCAGATGTTATCGATTTTTCATCTTCTGATATATGTTGGATAACCATATCACGTACAAGTATTTCACCATTTTGTGTTGTCAAAGTTTTTTGTCCATCATCACTTGTATCCATTTCACCGACCATTTTTACTTGTGCACGTTCGCGATCAATAGATTCCGTATGCTAAAATATGCAATACTTTGTTTAAATTAACCTACGTACAAGTTAGATGAAAAATAACGATGTTTTATCTAATTTGTTTTAAATATTCAAGAAAAAAGTGCTTACTAAACGTTCAGGTGGCATATGCTCCTGTTCGCGTCGTAGTTCACTTCGTCCATTTGTTGTTTGCATATCACCATATTTAAATGTTGCTTGTTGAAGATGATGTTGAGCGTGCTCATTTATTATTGGTATTTCTTTTGATTTTTCACGAACTAAAAAAAAACGAGACAATATATAACGATTACTTAATACTTTAACCAGCCGGTTTTTTACCAGTTAAAAAAATTATTTAAAACCGGCCGATTTTTTGCCGGTTTTTCACCGGTTGAAAAAGTTCTTTTATCCGGTCGAATACGACCGGTCGTAAATACTCAATCGGTTACAACTCTGCAATACACATATTTTAGAGCCGATCAACAAAAATTTGATGCACATTTATTAAAAAGAGATGTTTAATTTTATCCAATAATATTCATTATTTCACAAGTATATATGAAGAGGGCTAAAAAATCGATTCCCGTATACTACTTCAACGAAAAATTGAGAATAGTTATACGTCTTATTTTCATGTGATATCTTAAAAGCTTTTACCGAAGCGCTACTGAAACACATTCAAATTTCGTTCGAACATTGTCTTTACATCCTCTATTAAACAGATAAAAGATAAGCAATTTTATCATAAATTTATCCAATTAAATCACTAAAAAGTCTTTCGAATTTAATTCTACCATTTTCGAGATATGTATTTCTAGATTTCATTAATAAAATCCTTTGTACTTATCAAATTTAATGAAAACAAATAATAACAAATATTATATGAAACATGTACTCGTGCTTAATTCTTTCTTCAATGGCTATAATCAATCAAAATAAGGAAAACAAATATATTAATAGCGTTGAAAAATAAGAAAAAGTAGTTTTGTTAAAATATACACCTACGCGACACTTTCTGACTAAGCTAAAAATCGGACAAAAATGAAAGTTTTTACTTTGACCTTCGGTCGAATATTTTAGTCTACAAAATGAACCACTGTAGTTATAGTTTTTACTATAAACTCTCAAAAAGAGAGACTATAGTTTAATGTAATGAAGAAGGAAGCTAATTAAAAAAAACGGTGTTGAAACTAAACAAAATGTTCCATATGTTGTACCAACAACTATCATTAAAAATAAGTATAATGCTTTTTACTGGGACAAGAATTTATAAAAAATCGAAAAACGAGTCTAAAGTCTCTTTTATCTCTTTTTCTTAATTAGTACATTATAAGAGTATAATAGTGAATATGATCCATCATCATGATATTTTACCATCATTTTCTAGAATAAGTAAGCATTAATAACATACTTCTATATTCGATTGTGAGTCTTATAATAGCACTTCTTGGCTGTTTATTCTTGGCTTGTATTTCAAATGTTGCAATTTGAGTACTTTTATTACTATCCATTGACGATAATTCGTTCATTTCTATCTTTTTTTACCTCTCAAAAAACAACAAACAATAGTTCACTACTTAAATAAAATCAAAAATTGAATAAATTTTAATTATTTCAATTTAGTGAACACGAATAATCAATGGCATTTATCGTTTATGTTGATTATATAAATTATTTTCATTATATATATATGTAAATTTTACGTTTTAAATAGTAATATAAAAATAAGAAGAAGAAGAAGAAGAAGGGATAGGTATATAAACTAAATGTAAAAAAAAAAGACAATAAAAAAAAAACTTTTTTTTTTTATAACTTTTTTAATGCTAGCGAAATATCCTTTCTTATCAGTAGAGCCAATTTGTTAAAGATCACCATGATGTGGCCGTGAATCTTCGTTATTTCTATGAAAAAAGTTCTCTCTCTCTCTCTCTCTCCTTGCTTCTTCGAGTTTCTTTTCTTTAAAAAAAAATTATTTATTGCTCAATGTATGATCAAAAGCGATATTAAATACTTTGTTGTTGTTTGTTGCTTGTTTTCTCTCTCTCTCTCTCTCTCGTGCGCGCTCTGTCTCTCTCTAGAAAGCTTAACAGTTCAAAGCATAGCTCTCTTATACTTTTTTCTCATTTGTAAGGAAAAAAAAGAAAATATATAATATAGAACAATCATAATGTCGATATAGATTTTTTTTTGTTCGGTTTTTGCTATTGATATGTGTGTAAATATGTGTACATACCATCGAATGGTATATATATATATATATATGAATCATTTAAAATTTGATGACTTAATATTGCCTCTTTTTCATCATCCCTCTACATAAAATAATTGTTTTACAGATACCATATCTACAACTGCATGATGAGAGATATTCTTGTGATTTGTTCTTCTAATTGGATGGCAAGATTAAACAACAGTAAAAGATTAAATCTATGATACTACTCGGATTATTATTATATTCTTCATACGTGGTAGATAGGTGTGTTTGTGTAATTTTAAAATCTACAATTTATTTATATTATTTTATTTCAAATGTGTGGGAGATGGAAAACGAGATCATATTTCCATTTTTACCTCTTACTCTTTTTCTACCTAATGCATGGACATGACAAAGTTATAAGAAATAAAAATAAAACGAGTGAATTCATTAGTTAATTTGAACAATTGGCCTTGATATAAACAAGAATGATGAATCAATGTCAAGACTCTTCTCTAGTTTATTCGTTTTAGTGAGACATGAATTAATATGTTAGAGAGAAATTTGATAAATTAACTTAGTTTATTAGACGGTTTTAGACAAGAGAGAACCATTAATAAAAATCTTCTAAAAATTGTAATGAAAAATATTTCTTTCTCTAGACGATCTCTCCTAATAGACATGGTTGAGATAATCATCTCTAGTTTTCTATTGAAAATTTCATAGATTTATTCCATTAATAATAATTTGATAAAATTAGAACATTTTTTTGTATACACCGTTTTGTTATAATCCGTATAGATATTTGTGTACATTTTTTATTTTTCTTTCATTACATGTCGAAGAAAGAAAAAAGAAAAGAACAATACCGCATAAAAAACCACAGAAGAAGAAGAAAAAAAATAAATAAAAGATATTTAAAGACATTAGTCCATTCAAGAAGTTGTTCTACTACTACTATTCCTGTTTTCTTTTTTTTTTATGCGTCCTTGTTTCAACCTATAGATATACCTTTTGCTTTTTAATTTAAAAAAAAATAAAGAAAGAGAGAAGAAAAGTCGTTAGAAACATATGATCCTTGAATATTTTTAGATGCCATACGACTGTTTTATAATAAAAAAAAAAAAGCCAACAAAGAATAATCACTTTTTTTAACTCAAAAATGTCTATTCTATTATTTTATTTCATCTTTATATCTAATTGAATAAAACATTATTCGATCTATTATATATATATAGGATTCTAATCATTTTTCTAATTTTTTAAGAAAATTTAAACGTATCAAAATAGATTAGAGATTATTATCGTCATATCTATCTTTCAACAAATTCTATGATTATATAAACATTTGAAAAGTTCATACATTAGCAATTCTATTTTTTTTTTGTGGTTTTTTTCTAGACATAACTTGAAGAAGAAGAAGAAGAAGAAAATAGATGATATATCAATTATTATTTTTGTCTTCATGATGAGTTGAAGTAATTTAGTGGACAAGTAAATAAACTTAACCTATAGACGATTAGATAATATGATAGTATAACGTGATCATACATCATCGATGCACAATTCATTTATATGATTTCATTCTAATTATAGCTCTAAGTGTGTGAACACGTCACATTTCTTTTCAAATGTTGACTTTTAGTTTTTATACCGATAAATAACAGCATCTGTCATTCACTTTATCTAAAATTATATGTATAATAATATTTTAAAATCACACCACATTTATAGATCAATTTCACCACATATTATAATTTTTTCAACAAACAGAAAAAAAAAAAAATAATAATAACAACAGAAACTCGATTTCTTTTACAATTGAATATAATAGCTGTAAGTAAAAAAAAAAGTCTAAAATAAAAATAAACATTAACAGCATAACCTGTCTGATTATTATTACTAAACGAAAGAAGAATAAAAAAAAAGAAAAATGTTTATTATCAAGTATATAATTTCTTCGTTTTCTTCTCTTTTTTTTTTTTCTGTTTTATTTGTCTATCGTACGTACACACATACACACACTCAGACTAAATTCTTTTTTAAATAATAGTAATAATAATAATAATGACATACAAGGTTGATTTTAAAATAAATAAGATTC